TCCTTTGACCACAGGTGAAGACAGCTTGGCACCTGGCTGCTTGGAGAGCAGGCCCCCATTGTCTGTAAGGGTCTGGGGGGGTTGGTGGGGACTGGGGAGGGGGAGGGAGGAGAGCCAAATAAGGAAACAGTGATGATGTTTCTATAAATAAGCAGCACAGTGAGAAATAGCCACTCTGGTCAGATGTGAAATGTAGTATTGATCCCTCCTCCCCCAGGTCTAAAAATACTCTGATTATGGATTCTGACCCAGCACAATTCTGATAGGAAAAACCATGAACAGAAGTCTCCCACATCACAGACGCTCAGTTCCGAACATGTGACAAAGCAGTAAAACTAAAACCGAATCAATCCAAGAGGTCAAAATCACTCTGAGAAGCAATGCGTCTGTCTGCGGATCGAAGCCTTCGGTTTTCCCAGGCTGGTTTCTCCAGTTATGCCACCGATGTGATGAAGCTGTCACTCAGTGACATGCTATTTCTGGCTTGTTACTTGTGCTCGATTCCCTTACTTGGACGGCCTTGACCGCCAGTGGTGCCTCACATCCCTGTGCGCTGAAATGTAAGGAAGAGGTGCAGGAGTGTCAATCAGGGATGTGTAGAGCCGACCTCATCGTCACATCCCAGATTCAGAGGCTTATCAGCCAATCCTATTCCTGGATATCTTATCCATGCTCAGAGGCACAGTTATTTTGAGAGGACTTCTATGTGTAACTTCAGATGAACTCTTCGGATACAGGAAGGGGGGGGGGGTTTATTTTCCTTGTGTTGGGGAGAGTTCCAGTGGATGCATTTTTCCTGGGGGCTGTAACTGTGGCATTACCTCATGGGATTGCCCCTCCCCCCACCTATGTCAGACTGTTGGGGAATCTTGTGCCAGTGTTCACAGTCGTGATGAGTCTGTTTTGCCTTTGCCAGGAAACATAGGGCCTAACCCTAACCCTAACCCCAGCACCTTTGCATTTCCATCTGCATTTTTTCCCTCAGACAATAAATATCTTTTGCATATGCAAAATTATATTTGTGCTGCAATTATAAGAGTGATCTCAGAAACAAGCCTTGATTCGCTCCCAAATGTGGCCAGCTCAGTGTGATGGCTTTATAACGGGTTCACCACGGACCACCGAAAAACAAGTAAAGGGCCAGAAGACCTTTGGTCAGGACCCCAAGGTCCACCGATGGCATTACCTCGGCGATACCCGCACTTCATGTCACAGTGGATTCAAATTAGTCTTCCTCTTAGTTCCTCACAAACAGTAGCTGACAAATGTCAAATGTCACCAGAGGCAAAGCATTAACACCTAATCCTGTTGTCTTCTCAAATTCGACCCATGGCTGTTTTTTTAATACATTGATTCAGTTTAGGGAAGGATAGGAAAGACCTGTGAGATTTGTATGAGTTGTATGAGTTACAGAGAGGCTTCAGTCTTAATTGGCCAGCCGGTGTGACTCGGGAGACAGAAGCAAACATGATAGGGGGACTTCATCTGAAGACCTGTGTTTACTCTGTCAGCAGGGTAGAATTGCAAATTAACTTAATTGCTATGACGACAGCCTGACCCGTATAAGGCATCAAGCAGGGCATGAGGTTTGACACTGGCGGTGTGGCTCAGTAGGATTTTAGATGTCCATAATTGATGAAAGGTCCCCTAAATAATGAAAATACAATGAGCTACTGTATAGCTTCTGATCAGTTCTCCTTATGAACGGTGAACTCTTAATATTCAGCTTTGAAAACCACACAGAGCATAGTTAACTTATCACCAGGAGATAGGCAAGTTTCTGAGAGACAACAAGGCTGGGATTTTTGAGCTTCTGTGGCCAACGAGGCCATGGGCAGAACTGCTGCGTCGTGTGATATGAATCCGGCCCAGACACTGCCAAACTGACAGTTGGCGGACTCTTCCGGCAAGGAATTAGTTCTGAGCCTGAGGATTTTTGCTCAGACGCTTCATCCCGAACGTTGTCTGGATTATCATCTGCCCCTTGAGTGACAGTCGGCACCCTCTCATTTTGCTGCCCCTTGTGTCAGCGACAGATGTTACTGCTATGGCAAATTTATATATAGATGTCTGTTGACAGTTTTTAAGGTAGATCTGTTTGATACAGATTCCGGGGAGCATCTGGGAGCAGATGCTTGCCAGACTGGAGTCTGTGTCCCTGGCAGGTAACAGTCACAGCGCGTGCAGCCAAAGCATGTGGGAGTCTGAACTGGCAGGGCGTAAGACAGCACCCTCATTCCTCATGCTGCATCCTGATTGGCTGATTGGCTGAATGACTGGGATAGAATGCCGTAGTGCACTCTGCTCTGATACAGGAGGGAGGTCATTCGGAAAAGGATATTCCCCTGATTGTCCATCTACAGCCTCCAGACTTTAGAAAGTAAATATATCCGTTAAAAAATATAATATCCATTACTTGATTATACTGTTGGGCCAACACTACTCTGAGATCAGATGCCTATCCCTGAGATCAGATACAGATGAATCTGTGGCAGAACACAACAGAACAGTTGTGATACCCTTTAGAATTCGATAATGTATCTGCGAGGAAATGGCAAAGCAGTGCATCGTTAAACACCACAATCTGCTGTGAACATTCTCCATTCTTAAAACCAAGCGAATTAATTGATGAGTTCACCCTGTAAGACCACCACAAGTGTTGCACTTGTGGACCGGTGACCACAAACCAATACGAACAGATACGACATACATCTGCTCACTCCTAAAGGTGTAGTAAAACCCAAGTGACCCAACTTTGGTCATTCTTGTGGACTTACATAAAATTTGACTCAGAGCTGCTTGTAATTCCTTACTGGACTGCTCACATACAGGAAGGTTAAGACGAATATCCCAGTAGGTTGTATTTACAACTCCATTTAGAATGCACACTGCATGCATGTTTTAAAGCCCCACCTCCACCCCCCAACACACTTTACATGCGTACTTAACCTGCCTGTGAGGTGATTTATCTTTTCCTTCCTGTATCATATTTGATACATGATCCTGATGCCAAGCACCCAGTCTTAGTTCTTCTCTAGCTCAGTGGTTTTTAATGAGACTTCTCTTTAATCATTCTTAACCGCGTCAACCTGAGGAGCACGGCTGTGAAACTGCCACGGAGACAATAGCAACACAACTGTCAGTGCCGTTAGTTGCATGGCAGGTGTCATGTAGCCTCCGTACAGCAGTTCCACAGAAGTCACGGGTACCGGGGGAAGTAGGACACAGTAAAGCAGACACTCTCTGCCGTGACTGCCGTTGGACATGTGTCATCACCCCTTCTCAATGGCACCGGTAGCAACAGTAACAATGGACAAGCCACTCCATTCATGACTCCGCCCCCTCAACTGATTGGGTTACGGCCAGTCATGAGGGCTTGGTGGGCGGGGTTTGCTTTCCAGCTTTTCAGCACTATAATGGCGCTGGAGAAAGTACTACATAACAGAGAGCATGGCAAGCAGTGGTTTATAGATACATAGATCAGCTCGTCAAGTTTTTGGAAAGTAAACCTTTTATGTGATAGTGGAGACATTTTGTGACTCTTTACATAGATATATAATTAGCTAGCTAAAGTAATATATAATATAAAATCTAGTTAATGTAGAATGGTAGCTAATGTAGAAAATCTGGCTACTATAAAGGCTAACTATTGCAAAATCAGTGTAAGAGCCTGAAGCGATTGTCGCAGAAACAGCTGAACAAAGCCACATTATCCAGTGTGAGTCATCCCCCTCTGGAATGGTGTTACTCTCACTGCTGCCAGGGCATGTTCCAGTGAGCCACCTTTGTTTGGGCTGGGGGGGGGTGGGCTCAGAAATTGAGTGAGCCTGTAGACCAGCTGGGGAGGATCAAGGTCTGTTGTGTGTGTCAAAGTAAGGACCGATTGTTTGGTGTCGTAGTGCTGATGTGCACACAGCCTCGCCCTTCACTCCTCTGTTACGCTACGCAGACTCTCCCCGTAACAAACCGTCAGGTGCGTCTAGTCCAGATACAACAGCTAACAGCATGCAAACCTTTGTGGATGCTGCGTAGGAGGAGTCTATATCTGATCGCATAGATAATGTGAAAATGCGGGTATAATCCTGTGTGGATGGCAGTGGAGGCCTGGATTCAGGGAACAGGCCGGTCTTGAGAACACCTGTGGAAAAATGGAAGCTTGCACAACTTCCACAGAGCTGGTACTGATGTCTTCAAGCTTATGAGGTCTCACAGGTGCATGAACCAGGATTCTTAAGGATCTCTAGTAACTCTCAAACTTTTTTGCAGACCTAATCCACGACAGGTTTCAGAAACCAAACCAACCAATAGGGTGTGATTTAAATGTTCTTTCCCCCTATAAGTTAATTGATGATAATTAAATATGCATATTGAATGTAATCAGAATGCCTGCCACAGACATTAAAAAAAAGAACAATTAGTTTACTCTGTGTTTTCTGGGAAATATTTTGTCCTAAGAGAAGGAGCAAACTGGACTGCCTTGCATATGAAATGATATTGATTTTGGCATGAATAGTTTATTGATTTCCTTAGGGGTCCGAGGGAGATGCTAGTCCTGCATCTGGTAAACAGCTTTAGCTGCAGATGCGTCTCCTGGCTCGTTTCCGTGACCTCTTCCGTGTTTTACTGCCCACGCAAGCAGACTCATTGCGAAATGTTACCGTCATGGTGGTGACATTAGTCCACATTAAACCAAGGGCGGGTCTCTGCATATCGGGATTGGCGGGAGATATAGTGTGTCACACAGGAATGTTTTGTTCGTGCTCCTTGTTGCCAGTTGGTTCTGGGTACTCATGGTAGCAAATAATGAAAATGTGGGCGTAGAACAGTGAACCCGCCTTCTCTCTCTCCCTGGTAACCTCAGCCCAGTGTGTTAGCCCGACCTTTCTGTGTTGACACAGTCATTTGGATATTAAATCAATTCGCCCATGTTTCAGCTGTCAATCAGGTGCTAATTAAAATGTTTAGGACCACACAATGACCACATCCCTCTTGTCCCACAGTGTACCGGAGAGGAGAACTGGGTAGACAGCCGGACAGTCTACATCGGCCAACGGGAACCCCCACCTGGGACAGAGGCCTACATCCCTCAGCGGTTCCCCGATAATCGGATCGTGTCTTCCAAGGTAGCCCACGGACGTGAGGAGTGTTGGTGCAGGAACACATGAAACATGCTCTTCCTAGATGGATGTTGGTGTTGTAGGGCAGTGTTTCCCAATCTGATCCTTAAGGAACCGCAGACCGTCCACGAGGGAGGGAGCAAAAACATAGGCCATCTGTCGATCCCTGAGGCCCAGATTGGGAAACGCTGTTGTAGAGAGAAAAGGGCCACAGTCACACCCTTGGCTTCAAAGTCTTGCAGCATATCCTCCAAACATAGCCGTGCGGAAATAACCCTGGGAATTTCTCTGGCGGTCTACTGGTCAGGATTTGTAGCTCTCACCGGCAGGGCTTGGCTTTGATTGCCGGTCAGGGAAAGCTACCCGTCAACTTGTGGCCCATTTCGGGGGCTGTGCGTGGTTCAGCGGGTTAATCCCTTGTACTTGTGAACACACGGTCGCTGGCTTGAGCCCAGGCTCTGGCAGAATCTCCACTGGGCCCTTGAGCAAGACTCTTAACCCCCCCCAAAATGCTCTAGGGGTGCCAGATAAATAGCTTGACCCTAAGATTATACCCCAAGCTTTGCACTTAACTCTATATGTCTGTGCCTCAATGGGAAACGAGGCATGTGTTGGAAGGGGATCTGTAAAAAGAAGCACTCCAATGTACCTGAACTTATTTTGCATGAAGCATATAAAAGCATCATCCAAACATGCGCAACGTGTTTTCCTCTGTGATTGTTGCCAAGCTTTCTGAAGCACCGGTCAGCACAGCACCACTAAACCGCCTCCCTGTCACCTTTTCCACAAGCCCAGACGAGGAACCCAATGTCATGCTTTGAGTCATTGGAGCTTGGCAGCTCATATCAGGCTCCCCGTCACTGTCATAGACTTTGTTGCACCTATATGTTTTAAGAACCAGCTCTAAAAGCTTTAGAAGTGTGAACTCCTTTCACGTCACCAAGCATGTCTGACTGATCGCATTAAAATGTTCCGGCTAATTTGTTTCTGTTTCCTCACAGTACACCTTCTGGAATTTTGTGCCGAAGAATTTGTTTGAGCAGTTCAGAAGGGTTGCGAATTTTTACTTCCTCATCATATTCCTGGTCCAGGTGAGGATTTTAGCTCCAAATAACTCCCACAGCTTGCAGTGCGAGTTGTGGCAGCAGTAACCGAGGTTGTTTACCTCTGCCGTCTCCCACCATTTCAGCTGATAATCGACACCCCCACCAGCCCCGTCACCAGCGGCCTGCCCCTTTTCTTTGTCATCACTGTCACCGCCATCAAACAGGTGAGGATTTATTGTCACGGAATGCACTCGGGGGTGTCGGAGAATGTCAGCGCATTGGTTGAATGAAAGGCTTGTGTCAAACCCTCCTATGAGTCAATCAAGCTGGTTAGACTATGCTTGGACTCTACTCCCAAAATGGCCATGCAGTGGTAACTTAGTAGCTCTGTGCAATGGCATAGGATAGTTAGATTTTGCCAGCACACAACTTACTTTTGGTGACAGTGAATCCAAATTGAATGTGGTGGGTACATATCCTCCCCCCCCCGGTTGCCTCCTGCCCACACTGGCCTTGGTGTCTTGCTAGGATGCAGCTGGTCATCAGGCTCTTGCGAAGTAAAGATCAGGGTGCTGAAGAATGTTTTTAACTGCCCTCTGGTCATCATGCACCATGACACGTAGAGCACCAGAGCCAAAATGTGTCCGTAGGCACAAGTGACTTGGACTTACGATGGGATCTCAGTAATCATGAAGCAAGGGCTGGATCCCAGTGGATCCCACCGTTGTGATCATAAGGTATTTGTGGTCACATTTGGGACAGCAGTGTTGTCATCTTATGATATAAACCATTGAGATGCTTCCTATGCTGTAGCAATAGCTGTGTTGAGAGATGCAGTGAAAATCAGCTTTTGTTTATGAACCTAAGAAAGGTGAAGCGGTTGCTGGCTTTAATTTTCCGGAGTTCTCAGATTCGTGAGTCAGACGCCAGAGCTGATGTCGGCGGGGCATGGACAGGGACAGCTGGCTTGGCCTTCACACACTAAGTCAGGCCCACTGACCCAACAAAAATCACTTTCCCCCTTCTCTCTGGTAGCTGAGATGTGTGCACATGGCAAAATAGTGGAGAATCATCTTTCTGTAAATATCTCAGATATCATGTAGAATTGCCGGCTGTATTAAATCATAACAATGAGATATAAATGAAGATGAATTAGGTCATTGTCTTGCTGATAAAACCTGACATGCTACATCATTTGTTTTTGTTTTTTTCTTTTGTCCTCCTGTTATCCCGCCCCAGGGCTATGAGGATTGGCTACGCCACAAAGCTGACAATGCTGTCAACCAATGTCCTGTTCATATCATCCAGCACGGCAAGGTGGTGAGGAAGCAGAGCCGCAAGCTGCGGGTGAGGGTCTGCTGGGAGATGGGGGTGGTTGGCGGGTGCGCGGGAAGCCTGCCGTGAGTCAAACCCCACGACAGCCACTGGGCATCTTGAAAACACCGTGCGGTCTGTGATGCTACGATGAAGAGCCATGTAAAAACAAACCTTTGTCAGTTAAAATATGTATTTTTCTGCCATTAACCCCCATAAAATATTGTTCATCTGTCTGGTTTTTAAGTCGCCATGCGGCTTGATTCTCGAGGTGTGTTGCTCGGCAGTTAAACGGCAGTTTCCTGTTCACTTTGGGATTCTGCTCCACCGTGCAGCCTTTGGTATACCTCGCCTCGGCCCCTCCGCTGCTCATGTCTGCGTGTGGCAGAGCTCTGTTTGCCTCAGTCTCTGTGGCCATCTCGATTTAACTGGCCCACTTAACAATTGGCAGGGATATCTTGGCTTGGGGTGGGGAGGGGAGGGGAGGGGGAGCGCATGCGACTGAGCAGCTGTGCCTGAGATGCAATGAAAATTCCCGCTAAGCCGCTAATGCTATCAGTGTCTTCATATCCTCTTATGTTAAGGACGTGGCAGCCTCACCTGATGCTACCTAAGCCTGCTGTGCACAATCAACGTGTCAGACGTGTTTGGGTGGAATTTTAGCTTTTCCCTCCTTATTCTTTGATGTTAACCGGCTGGTTTACTGGAGTCCAAGCTCCTCTGTCTTCTGGTCAGATAAACCTCAGCTGGTGATTCCTGGGCTCTCTGATTTGCCGGAACTGATCAGTTGTAGCTCTTTATATTGCCCCTTTTTAGGGAGACCACATAATCCACGTCAGGGAGGACACTATGAGCTCGGACAGGATTTGTAAACTACCACCTCAATCAAAAGGACCTGGATTTCACTTAAGCACTGAGTTCTTGCTGTGCGCTGATTGGTCAGTCTTCTATAATCATGCGTGTGTCACCAATGTTAATGTTGATTGTTGTTAATTGGAGACTTTCAATCAAGGAAACAAGCCAGTCAAAACACAAGAGACACTGAACTATTTAGCCAAGAATAGGTGCCTTTCAGTTTTTAAATAGTTTGTGAAACCTGGAGTAGCTCAAAGTGTCTTCCCTGACATGGATTATCTGTCATCCAACCCCATTTCGAGTCCAGTACTGAACACTCACCTCCCTCGGTCTAAAGCTTTGGAGACGCCATGTAGTCATGATAAAAACAATGACTGATTTTTCCACGATTAGATGGTGCTAGTGGCACTTTCCAGAATATCTTGCTAATGAGCCACAGGTCTCTCAGCTCTGGAGACTCATTGTAAGCAAATTGAGCATTTGAATTGGTGAACTTTCCTTGTTGAACTTGTCATTGCACAAACACTGAACATGATTAGTCTTATCCATGTGCCTCTGAAGTGAAATGAACTGTGCAAAAAAATAAACAAGAACAGATGAAAAATATCGCTAATTGAGCTGAGCCATAGTTTAGAGGATTTCACTGTTGCTAAGACATACAGGTTTCAATCTGTTGCGTAACACATGATCCTGTGGAAAATAAATATGAACAGATGACCAAAATGTAATGAAGTCTATATGGGTGTTTATTTGTTATTGTGAGAACCAAATGGTTAATCGAGAGACACCGGCTTGCTGAAATTTATGCCAGTTTTATCATAATAAATTATGTTGCCTGCGTAGTGTGTCAGAACTGTAAAACAAAAAAAAAAACATGCAGCAACAACCACAGGTACAGCCCAGGGGTCACCATGACATTGTCAGTGCTTGTAACAAGAACCACAGAAATGGTATGTTGACAGTGCAAATGTTGTTTATTTTTTTCCAAAGAAGGTGAAAACAAATGTAACAAACAGCATTTGCTTGGTGCCATCAGGGAGAGACGGGCCCAGGGCTTCTCTCAGTGAAGACGTTGCTTTCTTCTCTGCTCACACTCTGCTTACCTTCTCAGGTTGGGGACATTGTCTTGGTTAAGGAGGATGAGACATTCCCCAGTGACCTCATCCTCCTGTCCACGAGCCGGGATGATGGCACCTGCTTTGTGACAACAGCCAGTTTGGACGGGGAATCCAGTCACAAGGTGGAGATCTTCTGTAGCCTAAGGCTTGTTGGTTGTAGGTCAAGGCTATGATGTTGACAGGGCATCCTTAGGTTACTCTAAAGGTATAGCTAGACTGAAGTCCAGCCAAGCTGGCAAAGTGGCCTGTGACTGAAGGGCTTATAGCTGTGTTTGGACGTGTAGGTAATTACAGGTTATGGTCTTGTGCTGGGAGAATGTCTTGACCAACTTACCTTCACGCCCCCTGCAGGATCCTTAAGGGTCATGCTCTGCAGATACCTCATAAATACTGTAATTCTGTAATTGGGCACAAATAGAACAGAATTATTGTTTAGGTTGTCACAGTCAATACCGCTCCCATCGTTTATCTTTAAGTAACGCATTCCGTGTAATCCCTTTGAACTAAATGCTGAAAGGCATGTGACAGATGTCTTATTGTCCTCTTGAATGGAAGAAGGGTGTGTGTGTTCGCATTCAGATAGAATAGTGGGACGTCAGGACAGAGAAAAGAGCAGTACAGAGTGAAGCGGAGAGATGGAGAAAAGGAGATGAGTGAGTCGATGTGTTTGGTGTGGCTCAGGTCATCCTGTGGCCTGACCATGTCTCATCTCCCCATGACCCCGCGGTGTCACATTTACTATTTTCTTGCTTTTCCTTTCCCCCAAAAGACGTACTATGCAGTGCAGGACACAAAGTCGTTTAATACTGAGAAGGAGGTGGACATGCTGAGGGCCACCATTGAGTGCGAGCAGCCACAACCTGACCTTTACAAGTGAGTGACCCTGAAGGACCTCAGGGAAGCCAGTGATGCAGACAAACACAGCGTGTGTGTGTGTGTGTGTGTGTGTGTGTGTGTGTGTGCGTACCCTACATGCGTGTGTGTGTGTGTGTGTGTTTGTTAATGCACCACATAAACAACTCTGCTCGAACCACTCCCCTGCTTTCAGATTTGTCGGACGCATCAATATTTATCAGGACCGAGATGAACCCATCGCAAGGTAGGTCTATCATATTTCCTGCTTTCCCTGCCAGACAGGAAATTGATTACACGTTAAAATAGCCATTTGCTATGTCACAGGCCTCATAGAAACATAAGCTTTGCTGTACTGGGTCTACATTTTTATATATCGATAGCTTGCATGCATGGCTGGTATATTATGCTGATGATTTATGGAAGGCTATTATTGTTTGGCTCTTCCTAAGACTTCCCAGCCCCTGTGTAAATCCCTCACTTACTGCTGTAATTGTTTTTGCATCTGAATTTCTGAAAATGCCCCGTCACAATATGTGGGGATTACCGTGTATGTTAACTGGTTCGGTTGAATAGTGAAGACATTCAAGCATGTTTGTGCGCCGGAGGGAAGGACGTGTCCCATCTTGCTCGGAGGTGATGCAGATGGTAAACACACCAGGACAAGATGTTCATTGACACTAAAGAAATCTGTTTCAGCTGTGGGTCTGCTTGTGAACAAGGATGTTTAAGTCAATTTGAGGTCAAATTAGGTCTATGTTATTATATACACATTTGTTTGCATTTCTCTGTTTCGTACAGTCGGTTGTGATTGATTTTAATTTGATTTTGGCCTTAGTGACGTTATACTGCTTCTGGCCAAAGGCCACCAGCCAAGAGATGAACACTGATTGACTTCATGGTAATTTAGTGAAAGTACACACCGCTGTCAATGATGATTAAGCTCTACTGTCTCTCCTTCAGGCCCCTGGGTTCTGAGAACCTGCTTCTGCGAGGAGCCACACTAAAGAACACAGAATTTGTTTATGGTAAGGATCTGCATGGCCTGATACTGCAGCAGCCCGGTGCATTCTGGGAGAGGCCAAACCATTTTAGAAATGATGGGCTATCAGTGAGACGCGCTCATTCCTCCGAGTAGAGCCTTATGGTTATTGCAGAGAGGATTGAAATTGCCGTTATTCATGAGGAAGCAGTTATGGCTCTGCGGTCTGTCATGATCAGTGCTGAATTGGCAGAACAAAATTTACAGGTATTTTCTGCTGCCTCATATTACTGCACACTTCCATCTCATTAAAGAGGAATCGGAGCGAGCCAGAGACAGGTCTGTGATGGATAACAGTGTAAACAAAATAAACAGGTGTTTGGTTCCTCAGGAGAGGACCGGCTTCCCGTACTGCAGTGTGATTTTCCATTAGATGGGGGTTTCATAGTTTAAGACAGACACGGCTCTTGCGTTCTCAGAGTGGAAATCCTGTGTTGGGCTTTTTGAGTCATTAGGCTGACTCCTTGTTAGATGCTTAGACGTTGTGTTGACTGAAGGCATCCTGGCTGATCTGGGATCAGTTACCACTTGCCTTTTTACCAGCTGTGGCCATTTATACCGGCATGGAGTCCAAGATGGCTCTCAACTACCAATCCAAGTCGCAGAAACGTTCAGCCGTCGAAAAGTAAGTGTTGCATAACCAACTCATCTCACATTCAGCATTCTTCTGCGTTTGTATTTATGCTGTATATTGGTGATTTGGTGCATGTTGTGACCTGTTCAGTACCTGTAGAGGTTCGCCATGTTGACTGTATTGATTCTTCTGCTCAAACACACTCAGCTGGTTGTTTCAAGCAGATAAAATCCCAACAAGCTGTTTACATCAGGGTCTGTAATTAGCCTGCTCCACACTGCCTTGCCCCATGCACCCCCCCCCCCCCGCCCTCCTTTACTAACCCTTTCCATTCCAGTCAGGTCCATTGCCACCGAATAACAGATCTGTGCTTTTAAATGAGAAATGAGTTTTAAATGGCCAGCTCCTGCCCAGTTGTTCTCACAAGCACCTTGACCCCTGTGCTAATTACTTTGGTAAATCACAGTGTAATTAATGTGGATGCTGTTGATGTAGCTGTTGTTTACGGTTAATGTATGGCGTTGGCCCTGTATGCCTGTCCAGATAAGAGCTCAGTGAACAAAAAGCCAGTTTAATGGATTTGGACTTGGATTTGTGACTAAAAGGGCTTTATTCCTGAGAAACAAACAGGTTTCTGCTGTTGCATAAATTGCTTCAGTACAACACATCTTGTTGGGAAAAGACGTAAATCTCTGTGTGGTCCCTCATCAAATAAAAAACGTCAAGTGAGAGCATGAAGTAGTTTTGTGTGTTCCTCACTGGATCTCTTGCCCGTTTACCTGCATAGGTCTATGAATGCCTTCCTGGTTGTTTACCTGTGCATCCTAATCAGCAAGGCCCTGATCAACACAACGCTGAAGTACGTATGGCAGGCTGACCCTAACCGGGATGAGCCCTGGTATAATGGAAAGACCGACCACGAGAGGCAGCGACACGTGGTAAACCCAGATAGTCCATCTTACAAACTCCCTCTATGCACCTTTGTCGCCTCCCTCTAATGGTGGTTCCACTCTTTTAATCCCATAGATGATCAGAGCTTTCACCGACTTCCTGGCTTTCATGGTCCTGTTCAACTACATCATCCCTGTGTCCATGTACGTCACCGTTGAGATGCAGAAGTTCCTGGGTTCCTACTTCATTACCTGGGATGATGAGATGTTTGACGAGGAGCTCGGCGAGGGGGCTCTGGTTAATACCTCTGACCTCAATGAAGAGCTGGGGCAGGTACGTGGGCAGTGAATGAATCCTTTGCACGGGCGCCTGAAAATCCAGACCTGAGACATAGATGCTGCCTCTGTGTGAAGGACGTTTTGTCCTGGGATAAACCCAGTCAACACAGAACTTCTAACTTTTGGAATATTTTATTTAGAATCATTCTGCACAGTTGACTTCCCACACCCAGGCTATTTTGGTTTGTGGTTCTTCCTAAGGGATCTCAAGGAAAGAAGGGAAACAAGATGTTGTCATGGTTAAGGAATACAGCATGTATTATCACATCTCATAAGGCAAATGTATGGTGGCCTGTCTATGAGGAGATCTGCATCCCCCCACCTTCTAGGTGGAATATGTCTTCACCGATAAGACCGGTACCCTGACAGAGAACAACATGGAGTTCATAGAGTGCTGCGTGGATGGCCATGTCTACGTCCCACACGCCATCTGCAATGGCCAGATTCTCTCTGGATCCTCTGGCATCGACATGATCGACTCCTCACCTGGTCCTGATGGGAAGGTCAGAGACACCTGCATTTACTAGGTCAAGCCATCAAAAACTCAGCTTCTGGTGTTTTTTTGGTGCTTTCGTGTGATTTTTAACTCGCGAACGTTACGTTTCCTTAGCACGGTCGATGTCATTCCCTACCGTTATTGACACTACTGCCCTGTGTATTCTGCTGCCCCCTTGTGGCCAGGAGCGTGAGGAGTTGTTCTTCCGTGCCCTCTGCCTGTGCCACACCGTGCAAGTGAAGGAGGAAGAAACAGTTGATGGCATCAAGCGGGGGATCCACCAGGGCAAGGCGACCTCATTCTATATCTCCTCCTCTCCGGATGAGGTGGCGTTGGTGGAGGGCATGAAAAGGCGAGTGATGGCTGTCACTCAAGAAATGCATGAAGAAAAGAATTGACATTGACCATTATATTTGTCCTGGATGTCATTACTGCACTTAACTGTAAATGAATGCAGTGTCACCAACTATATTTGATATCTCACGCCTGTGTGTTCTCCAGCTCCTACTGTGTTAACTGCTCTTCTCTTTCCTAGGCTGGGGTTTACTTACCTACGGCTAAAGGACAATCACATGGAAATCCTGAATAGGGAAGATGAGGTAGAGAGGTGGGTCATCTCTGAAGTGATTTTTTCCGCCAGATTTGTAAAGTGTGGCTCTGTATGCAGTATAATTACGTTAACAGCAGCCTGTGTCATAATGTGGATGAGCCTTGCACTAGTCTTCGGTGGTGGATTGGCAGCGTGTCAGGGCTGATCCTCTGCCATGTGCCCAGTGCTTCCAGGGATAGACTTCTTCGGACTGTATAGCACAGTGTTTCCCAGTCTGGTCCTTGGGGACTCGCAGACAGTCCACGTGTAGTGGATGAAAGTGGTTAAAAGATGGATGGATGAATGGATAGTCGAAAACTTTTAGTAGAAAAATCTGGTTGTCAATTGAAAGTCATTCTAAAAAGTACCAAACGTGACAATCACAAGCTTTCATGTTAAGACAAAGCTCTGTGGTCCCAGCATACATGTTAAATGACTGTGCCAAACTATCACACTCTGCCTGATCATGTTTTCCCCACTGTGGAGGGATTAGATCCCTCTGGCAAGTATGAGCCTGCTAGCCCCTGAATGTCTACAACACACCAGAGGTGGAAAGTTCAGGTCCAGAAATTACAAATCCAGACCAAGGTTTTATTTCAACCAACTAGTTGAGTACCCTGTGACTGTGACTCTATACTCAACTGGTTGGTTGAAACAAAACCTTGGTCTGGATTTGTACTTTCTAGACCTGAACTTTCCACCTCTGCAACACACACCCTTCTCTCAGGTTGAATACCCATCCCACAACCTGTCTGTTCTCCCCTTGGATTGAAGGATGGAGGAAAACCACAAAAGCAGCAGGGAGCTGGGGGTGGGAGAGACCAATGTGCTTGCTCTCATTTGCCAGGGAACTCCAACCATTGCTCATTGACCTTCGTGTGGGACTGCATTAAGAAAAACGCACAGACTGTCTGAAGTATTGACCACTGATCAACATTTAGTGGTTCCCAGTGAGTGAAGGGCGCTTTTGTTTTTGGCTGCAGGTTTGAGCTACTGGAGGTGCTCAACTTTGATTCTGTCCGAAGGAGAATGAGTGTGATTGTCCGCTCCAGCTCAGGTAGGTTCCTCGGGGTCATTCTGGTCATTACGGCTTCTCTGGGTTGGCTGTTACGTACTTCATCTATAGTGAGATGCTGAAGATGTATTGAAGGAATACAGAATGGGTGAGCAGGCTGTCCGCATCACACCTTATACTCCTCTTCCTGCTCCACACAGGACATCTGTACTTGTTCTGCAAAGGAGCCGACTCATCCATCTTCCCCAGAGTCATCTCTGGGAAAGTGGACCGGGTCCGAGCCCGGGTGGAGCACAATGCTGTGGTGGGTGTCTCAGAACCCGTCACCGCTGGTTTCTTCCACCTTGCCCGCCGGAACATACTCAACTTTTACAGACAGTATGGGTCTGCGGGTGTTCTCTAAAACTATCCACGATCCGATCCCCCCTTTTTAGAACCTGTGTCTGGTTTGGACCTATCCCTGCAGCCTCTGTGGGGTTTGGGCTCCTTGAGGTATCTTCAGGTTCGGTGCACTGTTCCAGTTTTTCCGGTGACCTGATAAGCAGGGATAATTGGAGGACATCTCCCAGGGGTTGGACTGCAGAGGGATGTCATTAGCCAGTACCCTCCCTCCCACAACTCATGGCCTAAATATCGCCGCTCTGTAGACGTATCAGCACCACACCTGCGGTGTCACCAAGCTACTGCAGCTAGGTAATTTATTATGTATTAATTTACCAAGTATAGTAAACAGGTGGAAATGATGGGCAAGTGGTTTGTGGTGCCAGTCAGGGATCAAAGTAGGTTATAAGCGTCCACTGATCCATCATAAATCACCTGTCCACATTTTAATTTCATCAAGAGCCGTCCTAGGTGACCATCTTGACAGGTTCCCTCCTGAACATCCTGTCTTCAGCCAGGCTTCCAATGGCGTGTTTTCTTTTGATAGGTTTTAGTTTGATTGTTTGTACTTCGAGTGAAAATTCTAACATTTTAAAAAGCGTCTTTTTCCCTGAGGTCCTTGTAATCTTTGTTACTTTTACAACATCGCTATTCTTCCTGTCATTCTTCGTTGCTCAGATTTCATATCTGTGAAGCCACAGGAATTATCACATTTTGAACAATTCTGGTATTAGTTAGATTTGCTAAGTGCTACTCCGCAGTATATTTCTTGACTGATGTATCCTTTGTTGCAGATAATTGTTCATAGTGTTCATGACCTGCTTTCTTCACATTTAGCTATAGTCCTACTTCTTTTCACTCTGTTTTTTGACTTGCCTTGTGTCTTCAGATCTTAATTTTTATGCTATAAATCTGGTGTCATCAGCATATTGAAGGTGTCCATCTATAAAAACTCGGAACAGTTCCGAAAAAGTAATATGGAGTAAAGACAGGAAATGGCCATAGCTCACACACACACACACACACACACACACACACACGCACACACACACGCACACACACACAGGTTTGTAATTATATCTTTGTGGGCACTCTCCATTCATTTCTATGAGGAAAACTCTAATCCCAACATGATGACCTTAACCCCTATCCAGCCCTAAGCTTAACCATAAGTAACCAAACAAAATCCGAGACTAATTAGTTAACTTAGAGAGCTGGTGAAGAAAGCTGTGTTCATCTCATCATCCAACTAGATATCAGTAACTTTCTGGGGAATAGAAGAAATTCCTTTTAGCTTTTGAGTTACTATTAATTTCCATATATTCTAATGTTAAACTGTGTTTTTTGTTCTGAGCAAATATATACGTAGTACCTAGATAATAGCTTTAAACATTTCCTTTGACTGCCTAGGACTTTTGCCCAGAACTGTATAGACACACACAAGAAATCTGATATAAATAAACTGAGCTTTATATATTTGACTTGTATGGCCGGAAATATCTGCTGGTTACACACATAAGAATATCTTTAGACCCTTTCAGTCTTTAGCTGATGCATACCAGCTAAAGAAGCAGTATGATGACTTTAGCTAACCAGTTAGCATTTCCCCCCGCCCCCTCGTGATGATCATGTGATTGATGGCTCCCTGCAGGAGGGCCTTCGGACACTCTGTGTGGCCTACAAGGCCCTGAGTCAGGAGGAGTACCACAACGTGTGCCAGCTGCTGGACAGTGCCAAGCTGGCCCTGCAGGACAGGGACAGGAAGCTGGCAGAGGCCTACGACCTTATCGAGAGGGATCTCATCCTGCTGGGGGCCACTGCTGTGGAGGACAGGTATGGGGAGCACAGGGGGCGCCATGCCCACTGGGGATTCGCTGATACATGTCTCATGGAGGCTGCCACGTTCACTTGGGATTGGCCAATCCAAGTTGCATAGAGGCTGCCACGCCCACCTGGGACTGGCCAATCCAAGTTGCGTAGAGGCTGCCGCGCCCACCTGGGATTGGCTGACCAAGGTCACACAGCCCATTTAGGGTTTCCCAGTGTCACTTTCCATAGTGGTGACTTTCACTGCACTGGAAGCCGGCTAAAAACTCACACTTGTTTGGATATTTAGTTTCATGTGAGTAGGAGTTACTGAAGAATGCACTGGTTTTAAAGACGCGATTAAGTATCTGTTTTTTTATGGTTTTCAGCGGATTTCCCTTTTCCTGTTTATATTTTGACTAGTTTTTTGGACTTTATTTGGAAAGCAGTTCGTGTCGTCTGCCTTTGTGATGGGCGGGACAGGAAATGGTGATTGGCTATCTGGGTTTATTGACTGTCTGACTGGCCCCTCCAGGCTCCAGGAAAAGGCAGCAGACACCATCGAGTCACTGCACAAGGCCGGCATGAAGGTGTGGGTGCTGACAGGAGACAAGATGGAGACGGCGGCAGCCACCTGCTACGCCAGCAAGCTGTTCCGGCGCAGCACGCAGATCCTGGAGCTGACCACCAAGCGCACGGAGGAGCAGAGCCTGCATGACGTGCTCTTCGAGCTCGGCCGCACCGTGCTGCGGCAACACGGCAGCCTCACGCACGACGCCTTCTCCGGGTCCGTGCCTCTGGCTCTTGGGGCTTCCCTCCCACCTGTCCATGTGACATCATCAATTTTACAGTTATGGCTCCTGTCACTCCAGTGGCCCCCCTGCTTCCATAATGTCCTTTGATCAGGGAGGACCCAACCCCGACCTCAATCATCTACCATGATCCATCCATTACTTCATTTACTGAATCCACCTGAAACTGATGTTTTTCAAAAACGGCTGAAAGTTATTTACACTCCAGTACGGAATCTAAAAGTATAAATGTATTCATTATTGCGTAGTACGAATCAGAAGTCTGGACACCCTTGCTTTCAATGCATTTGTCTCTATTTCAATGTTATTTTATGTTATTCACCTTATAATAAAGTGCCTTGAGTCAGTGAATTAATACATATCAAATATTACAACAACCAATTTTTTGACCAGAATTTTATCAAATTTTAGACTCTTCAAAATAGCTCCTTTGAGGACAGCATTGCAGACTCCATTCTTTCAACCAGCTTCCAGATGTTGCCACCTGGAATGATTCTCCAGCATATGGTTTAGGTCGGCGGGTTGTGGGGGCCAGGTCATCTGTCACAGCACCCCATCTCTATCTTTGTTCACAAGACAGTATGTCACTTAGAGGTCTGCTTAGGGTCGTCTCCATGCTGAAAAAGAAATGATTTTCAGTAGGTCTGTCCAGACTTTTGACTGGTATTGCAATTGTCATGAAGCTGTTGTGTTTTGAGGAACTGACCCAAGTGTGTCTCTGCTCGCAGGCTGTCCGGTGAGTTTCAGGACTACGGGCTGATCATCGACGGGGCCACGCTGTCCGCAGTGATGAAGCCAGCACAGGACGACAGCTCGGGGAACTACAAGGAGATTTTCCTGGAGATCTGCCGGAACTGCAGTGCCGTGCTCTGCTGCCGCATGGCGCCGCTGCAGAAAGCGCAGGTCCGATGTCACTTCCTGTGGGCTGGCCAGACCAGCAGATGCGAGATCGTAGCTAATAAATACTCCTAGAAGGGTCTGTCGGTTGTTCTGAACCATCTTAATTGAGTAAAACTTTTAAAGGCTCTCGCTGGAAGGCACTGGACTCACTTCCCTTTGGCACAATCTGTGGTTTCCCAGTTAATGGAAAAAGCTTTGTTTGACCACTTTATTAGTGACCATCATTGAATGTCACTGTGGAGACCAGTGAGACCAGTGGCAGAGTGAAGGATCAAATATCTCTACACCATTTTGCCTGAGGTGTATAAATCTGAGTGGAAATTGCACATAGGGTGGTCTGGCTATGTTCGGCGTCTCCAAGTCCATCAGGGTCAGGTGCTGATTATCTGCTGCTGCTGTTGTCCTCTGGAATATTCTGGATGTGTGTCATTTTAGATCGTGAAGCTGATCAAGGCCTCAAAGGAGCATCCCATCACACTGGCCGTCGGCGATGGAGCCAACGATGTGAGCATGATCCTGGAAGCTCACGTCGGCATAGGTGAGGGGGGGCACCTTGGCAAGCGGCGTCCCTTTATTTTATAACACTTTACAGTAACTGCACCTACTTAATGGGTTTATAATGCATCCATAGAAGATTCAGTGGACCTTCATAATGCATTCATAGAACATTCATAAGCAGCATGAATGTTAACGTGCTAACATTCCTTAGTAACTTTAATATACATTAATAATAGCATTATAATTGCTTAATCATATAATGTTTGCTACTAATGTATATTAAAACTGGTAAGGTATGTTACGATGTTATGGCATACTTGCATGCTGCTTATGAATTCCATGACTGCATTATGAAGGTGCAGTTAGTGTAAAGCATTACCCTTTATTTATTAGCTTTATCTATTACAAAGGGACAGAGAAGATGAAGGCAGGCCATCTCTGACCTGAAGCAGGATCACAGCTCCTCACAGTGTTACAGTTTTTTAAACATCCTTGCTTGCTTTACTGATCTCTTGGTTTGCTCCCCTTTAGGCATTATGGGTAAAGAGGGTCGCCAGGCAGCCAGAAACAGTGACTATGCAATCCCCAAGTTCAAACACCTGAAGAAGATGCTGCTGGTTCACGGTCACTATTACTACATACGCATCGCTGAGCTGGTGCAGTACTTCTTCTACAAGGTGAGTAAGTTACTGATGACCAGCAGGAATCAAATGCATTACCTGAGTAACAAAGTCATACAGAGCCTCTCTCACCATCTGGAAGGTTAATCATCTCAGACTGCTGAGAGTCACCTGCAGGAGGTGTGTGTTTTTATCTGAAAGACGTGAACGTCTCTGTGTGGCCAGGCTGACTGTACTTTGTCTCCACAGAATGTCTGCTTCATCTTCCCCCAGTTCCTCTATCAGTTCTTCTGCGGCTTCTCTCAGCAGGTACCCAGCTATGGCTTAACTATTGTGTGGTCTCATCCCCGTGGTGACCTCAAACCCCAGAGCACATGCCTCCGAGAGCTCCTCATACCTGCGCAGTGTGGAATCAGTTTAGTGACTCACAAAGCGTGCTCTCCAAGGCTCAAGATCAATGTTCTACACGTCGTTAGCCGGATGCATTCATCATATCTCCAGTGGCTCCATTTGCCTGAATTCCCCTGACTCTTCCTTCTGTGTCCTCCAGCCCCTGTATGATACAGCCTATCTCACGCTCTACAACATCAGCTTTACCTCCCTGCCCATCCTGCTCTACAGCCTCATCGAGCAGCACGTCAGCATGGACATCCTGAAGAGGGACCCTTCCCTGTACAGGTGAGGACTGCCTCTATCCCTAGAGACAAGACAGCATGCGTGACAAAACGAGACCTAATTGTTCGTCCTACCTTCTGCAGGGATATAGCCAAGAATTGCCTGCTTCGCTGGCGGATTTTCATATACTGGACTTTTCTGGGCCTCTTTGACTCAATGGTCTTCTTCTTTGGTGCTTACTTCCTGTTCGACAACACTACCTTTACCAGCAATGGACAGGTGAGGTCGCTTGGGCCCGGGAGACTATGCGCTGGCGACGGCCAGACAGGCTGTGTGTGCCGGGATCTCCTTCGGCTTTGAGGCCGACGTGTATTTGCCACGGTAGTGTTTCTAGAGAGGAGGACTGTGAAGCAGGATCCAGGTATTGTAGGCAAGAGCTTAGGAGAAGCTAATAAATTATGGAGCGAGCATCACTAGAGCATCCATCCATAGGTGAACAAACAGCAGGGCTGATCAAGCCATTCAAAACGCCCGGAGACTTACTCTGCTTAAATTCCTGGGGTTTTCCATGAAATTCTCACCGCAGGGGCACATTCAGCTGTGGGTCTATTTCTCTATACTGTTTATTTATGTCATATTAGTCTTTTTGATTGCTTTTTTTGTCTTTGTTTTTCAGTTTTAACATCCTAATTTTCTTTACTTTTTTTGTCCTTATTTCCCCTCTTCTTCCTCCTCTTCCTCTCCTCTTTCGCTTCTTTGCTTTTTTCCTCTTCAGCTAATGACCACCAACACACAAATGGTAAGCCTGTTCCCCTCCCCCTCTCTGTCTGTCCTCTCGAATTAGTTTTTGTTTCATGAACCCTCCCCCATTCATACTTTCCCACCTATCCCTCGTATCTCCGCGGGTTCATACTTCTTGGCATACGTACGCTTCTCTTTTAACACCCTGTCTCCACACCCCCAGCCAAACCTAACCCCTCACCCTTCAGGCAGAGTAGGTAACCTTCATGACTCTCCGCTTCATTATGGTGGCGCGCTTAACGTAGGTCTGTGTATTGTCCTATGTACCATATGGCCCAGAGGGGAGAGACGACCGTGACAAGCCGGGGGCGGGGGGGGGTTTAAGAATTTAGATTCTACCAAAGTCTCTGAGCAAGACTCAGACTACGGGAAGGTATACAGAAAGCTAGAGTGTGTCAGAGACTGATCAAAATGGGGAAAAATTAGCTCGAAATTTTGAAAATTATCAGCCCGAAACATAACCATGCTGGAATGCTCATTTATCTGGGTGAAATTTGTATGGGCTACAGGAGAAGATAATGAAAGTTAGCTGAAATGATTGATGAAGGTGTGAAACATCTTTACAGCTGCAACGTGTTGAAGCAATTAAATGTGTTCAGTCTTTCTGAACAGTGTTTATAATTCATGTAGTGAAAAGAGGTTGAATTTCATTTCAGTGTTCAGATAGTATATTGTTGAAACGGATTGAAGACCATGCCACCTCAAGGTATATATAAGATCAATATGATTTTAACCTGGTTAATAATTCATAATAAGGATTATGTGATTGTCATAGTCATAGTTTTTGAAAAGCCCATGATTTGAAAAGTGAATTTATATGCATTTTTTCTGGTTGGGTTTTCAGCCTGATATCAATATCAATATTTCATATGATATAAAGATTAAAACTGTTTCTTTTCCTCTTGTCAATTGGAATTACGAAAACGATGCCGGTAATGTTGCCTAAGGCGTAAGAGCCGGACGCACGGTGAACATGAAAGCAGGCCGACAGCCGTGTTTCCCTCCAAATGGTCCTTCAGACACGAGGAAACGTTTCTCACAATCTGCTGCTTCTTCGTTGATGTAGCTTCTGGATTCTGGCTTGGATTCATGTCTCCTCCGAGCCTCGGTGTCTTTGGGACTGATGAGGGGGTGAAACTAGTGACTACAGCAGGCACTTGGTGACCGAGCAGCGAGCTCAGGTCTTCTGTTTTAATGCTGCCGCTGGTTTGATGGAGGGAGAAGCTTTCAGGGAAGCCGGCGGGAGGGTCTTGATTCCTGGGGGCAGACAGAGTGACCAACAGCAAAATAATGAGTTCTGATCACAGCACCTGTATCATTTGGGCTGTGTGAATTGGCCCCCCTGTGTGAATTGGCCCCCACTGTAGCCTCCACTGAAGTCTGTTCATGGGCTGAACTCCAGTTTTTCCATTTTGAACAGAGCTTGCGTAACATCATAGTAGAGTTTTTGCTCTAGCATGGAGCATTGTGGTTCTTGTGTATCAATACCCCTATTATTCAAATCACGGTCCTCGAGGCCCGAGCACTGCTGGCTTTCCAGCCTTCCTTTACCTGTAAGCCAGGTGTGAAGCCTCTGACCAATCAGAATCAGTAATTATTAAACTAACTACCTGTGAGAACTGAAAACACGGCCTGGATCTGGAATCGAGGTCCAGATTTGAAGAGCCCTGATCGATACCAAAAATGCCAAAGACTTAACAGCAAGTTTGTGCTTTTTTCTGTATTAATAATAAATGTAGCGTCGTGGTGTCATTTGTCCTCATTGTTCTCCATGATGTCTGCTTAATCTTACAGTCATGGCCTGGATCACTGTCAGCAACGGGGGAAAAAAGCCATTTTGGCAACTGAGTGAGCTTGTACTACACCGGTGCTTGTTGAAAATTTGATATCCATAAACAACAAAGAGGAGAGATTGTGTGTTAGCCAATAGGAGTGGACAAGGCTGAGTGTTAGCAAATACGAAATGGGCGAGGCTGCGTATTAGGCAATAGGAATGAGCAAGGAGGAAGGAGCATTAGCCAATAGGAATGCGCAAAGCTGGGTGTTAAAAATTAGGAATTGGCATGGCTGGATTTCGGTTATTAGTAATTAGCAACAGTGTGATCAAACTAACATGACTTTGCTTCTAAACTGATCCACTGCTGAGATCATGGGAAAACGCCATGTGCTTATCGCAGATTGCTGTTATTGTTATCATGTCATGTGACTCTAATCAGCTGTATTCTACTGAACGCATCCGTCCAGCGAAGTGCCCAGAATGGTGTGCAGGCACATTGCTTCATGACTGTTGAAATCCGTTTTCACAGATATTTGGAAACTGGACTTTTGGGACTCTGGTCTTCACCGTGTTGGTGTTCACAGTCACCCTAAAGGTAACATCCTGTTATTTGATAAAATACGAATAGTCTCGTTCTAGAGACTATTCGTTTATAAGCCGTCAGATGGTGGTTTCATCCATTCTTTAGAGGTGCCGTCATCTTACTGTTGTTTGCTCTCTGCAGCTTGCTCTGGACACTCACTACTGGACGTGGATCAACCACTTTGTCGTTTGGGGATCTTTGCTTTTCTACGTCGTTTTCTCCCTGCTGTGGGGAGGAGTCATCTGGTCAGTTCTGCCGTCCTTTATTTGCCATGAGCCAGCCGTGTTTTCTCTGTATGCTGCTGGCATTCAGCCTCACCTCCCTCTGGCTCCCCCTGCAGGCCATTCCTGAACTACCAGAGGATGTACTACGTGTTTGTGCAGATGCTGTCCAGCGGGCCGGCCTGGCTGGGCATCGGGCTGCTTGTCATCATTAGTCTGCTGCCGGATGTGCTCAAAAAGGTCCTCTGCCGAGCACTCTGGCCAACCAGCACTGAGCGCATCCAGGTATGAGCGGGGCATCCTCGCTGCACGCATTATAGTGCATGTTAGCGTAGATTGGCACCATTATGGAAGGACACACAGTTGCACTGAGTTTTTGTTTTTCTACAGAAATGTAAAACTGCTACTCAGATCGTATAAGATTTCATGGTGACCATCATCGGCTGACCTTTAGATTTCCATACTGTATGCTATCAATGTTATACCGCAATGCCGAACGTGAGTGGACCATTTCGTGTGTGGTTTCCCTCATCTGGCATGATTCCTGAGTGACCTTTTCCTGCATTTTTCAACCCTTTGTTATAGCTCAGAAATAGAACCTATATACCGTGCGTTGTATTTGTTTGTATATAGATACTCTTCGCTTTACGATGATTCAACTTAGGATATTTCGACTTTACGATGATTCCACAACGACATAAATTCAGTAGTGATATACTGTAAAATGATTTATATTGATACTGGGTGATGACAGCATCCACTCAAACACACAACGTATCGCCCAGTGTCTTTTTCACTATGTGATTTATCATATCATATTGAAATTCGACAAACGATATTTTCATCTTACGAATGAATGTAACCCCATTGTAAGATGAGGAGCACCTTTGTTCATTACAAAAATACGCTAAAATATAGTATTGATTCCGAAATAACACAGGGATATTGCCTTTGGTCCCTCCTGGTTTTAACAGAACCTTTAGGCCCTTGTCACAAACTCATCTTCCCCCAGTTCCTCTATCAGTTCTTCTGCGGCTTCTCTCAGCAGATACCCAGCTATGACTTAACTGTTGTGTGGTCTTGTCCCCGTGGTGACCACAAAGCCCTGCCCTAACAGTCACTTCAGAGCTAGTGTCCAAACTGTCAGGACAGCCATATGCCCTCAGAGGAAGCAGATTCTGACTTGTACATTTTATCTTATGTTCCTGCATAGACAGGAGTTCGTCACACTGCTGGCTGTTATTGAGGTCATTAGATCTTAATTAAATAAGGTCCATAGATGCTACCAATGACTGCACCTCTTGTAACACAGAAATGCCTGTTATACTGGAACTTCTGTATTTCAATCTTTACTTGGAGTTATTAGAATGTAGTGTGTGTGTGTGTGTGTGTGTGTGTGAGAGAGAGAGAGAGAGAGAGAGAATGAGAAAAAGATAGATAACAAAATTTGATGTCTCTCAATGCTTGTAACCACTGTCTCCTCCCTCTTCCCTTTGCTCTGCTCCTCACTGACACTGCCCTGCTGCTTCTCCGTATGTCTGTAACCTCTGACCTCTTGCGGCCGCCTCCAGACCAAGCGAAAGTGCCTTACTGTCGAGCAGTCCACCATTTTTATGCTATCCCAGACTTCCAGCAGTTTAAGTTTCTAACTGGAGTGGAGGTGACTCTTAAATCCTCTCTGCATGGTGTCATGTCTGTGGTCCCCGGTCACCATGGGGCTGGTGGGGGGGGGGGGGGTTGGGCTTTTGATGCCACCTCTTTGATCACATTTCCCTCTCCTTCTCGATGACCTTTATGTCACAGCTGTTCCCATTGCCGGTTGCTCACGATAAGAGCCTGCTAGCCTGCTTTGTGCCATAAACTGGCCCATTGGCTCTTCAGCCCACAAAGCGAATCAAGTCCGGTTGGTCTCACATCTTGGTGTGAGTCCAGTTTAGCTGTGTTTAAATGCTGTGTGACACCACCCACCCCCCCCTTCCAGCATCCTCAGAAAGACGTCTGTACACTGCTTTGCTTGCAAAGACGTCAGACAACTTAAAAACATAAAAATCCACTTTTATAATATGAAATGTAGAGGCGAGTTGGTAGGACCTGCCTATTATTATCACAGCATAGGCTTATTTATAGGTATGATAATGACACAAGGGGCAGAAAGCTGTCATTGGGTCTGCGCTCTCCCCATGGTGACCTAAGGACGCCTGAAACTGTCCTGTGACGTCGTGCACTGCCCCAGTCTTCTGCACTGCATGCTAGGAGATATTTATAGACGTGCTTTGTGTACATGTAAGTGTGTGTGCTGGAGCCATCGCAAGCCATCCTTTCACATTGGACCCCCCCCCCCCCAAAGATTGATGTATCTCAGGCAAGGGCGCAGGTTTGGTTTCAACATTGGCAGGGACAGAATCAGCCCCAAACCCGCCACTCCCACAATGTTGGCAGAGACATGTTCCGACCGTCCATACCTAAACCTGCGCCCTTGATCTCAGAACGGAAACAGGAGATATTCCTGTCTTCTATTTGGGAGCATATGAGGAGGATATTGTCTCTGCCAGTGGATGTGTAGCCTGGGGGCAAAGGGTAGCCTTTGAGGGTAGGGATGAGTAATCTGTTTGGGCTGGATGCTCCACACACAGACTCATCGTTCATTGGCTCCCTGTAAAACACAGAGCAGCCAATCAATAGGAAAAGTCCCGCCTGAGACAGACCAGGGTGCACTCCGTGGCATAGCATTCCGGAAGCTTCTGGAACTCCACGCTTGTTCTGAACTTCTGCAAAGCAGCGTTTGATCCGGACTGATGTGGAAACACTTTGCCTGGCGCGTGGTAATGGCTTAATGGGTGACGTCACCGCTGGTCTGATGTGAGAGGATGTGCTTTGGCTGAAACCTGCAAGGACGCATGTGCAACTTCATGTTTGTGTCATTTTATCATCCTGTGTATAAATCCACCCAAAATGCAGAAAAAAAAAGAATTTAAATGTGTTGTTCACTTTTTGCTTCCTCCCACAGGTTCATTAAAGCGATGACGGGCTTCTGTTAGATTTTATACCCTTAATGTTTCTGTACATATGTTCTCAGAGCGTTCCAGTACGTTCTGCATTTTGGTGCAGTAGTATGGTCCTCCTGTGTTCTCACAGGTTTGCTCAGAGAATTCCACTTTTCTGCCATATTCATTATACTTCCAGGCAAATGAGTCACAGTAGAGCTTCCCTCAGTCTGTGAGATCCTCCTGGGATCCAGGACCCTGGCTGGGTGAAGCATCTGTACGGACAGATGAGAAAGAGACCAGAATTAGAATCTAGTGCAGTTTTTTTCAAGCAGAAAGTATCACAGGATTGGAAAGACGGTGCATGAAAAAGTCGATGTGTCTCTCCCTTTTTCGGGGCCCAAGCAGCGTAGCTTGAACCAAACTGTTAAGACAATTGATCATGTAACTGAATAGATTTGTTGACTCCCTCCAGTCATAATACCTGGAGTTTACGGTCTTCCCTTCCTCCACTGGAGAATTTTATAGTCTGCGTGTGGTCATGCCTTTATGGACGAGCCCACTTATCTCTGGGTGTTGTGGGGGTCTTCTTTAGCACACAGCTATCCAAAACGTGTCACTGGTCTGTACGTCTTACGCTTAAGGGGGGGGGGGGGTGCAGGCTGGGTTATTTTAGGCTCTGCCTCAGCCCTCAATGACTTTTTTCAAAGGAGCTATTTGTGCAGCGAGTGAGTTTCTGCTCGGAGCCGAACTCTAATTGGCGTGCACCCGGTGACACCTGCAGAACTCCCTCCCTCGACAGCCCCCCCCCCCTGACTTCAAGGGGTGCAGGTGTGGGGGGGGCCTACGGCCACAGACGAGGTGTGCTGCCTAAAGAGTTATCGACAGAGCAGAAGCCTGTGTTCTGAGTGTGTCTGTTCCTGCTGTTCACAGAGGTTGATGGCAGATGGAGCTTTTCAAAGGGTGCTGCCACAAGGCCACGATTCCCTGCTAGACCCACCTCAGTGCACCACTGAGACCTAGCTGCACCATGGTAACCACAGGGGGGTGAGCGTGGTGCCTGGTGTGGCATACTTTTTGGGGGGATCAGGATGGGGGGAGTTGGATATTTGCTGGAAGCAAGCTGTCTCCCCATTCTGACACACATACATGCATGTTAATCCCCATCCTGCAACACCAACTTGTCTTCTTGCTGCGTCTGTTGGACAGGGGTCTTCCGTGGACTTTCTGTGAGCTGGGCTGGGGAAGTGAGAAACCTCACAACTCAAAGGCTGTTCCTTCCCAGATAGAGTGGACACACAGATGTACACAGAAATCACAGCATCAGCTCATAAGCCTCTTTTTCGCATAAATGAAATGCTTTCATGAAAAAAACACAAGAACAAACCAGGCAAAAAAAAAATCACGTGAGGATAGAAATCAGTACGACTAAGTCAAATTTCAAAACATTAGCACAGTCCTTAGAGATATTCCCAGCTTATCGTACTTTCTTCAAAACAAAAGCAATTTGCTGCCCTCTTGTGTTGAGAGTGAGATTGCAGGCAGTGCTTAAGCGTTTGGAAACCGATCTGTGTAACTGCAGTTGGCCAACAGAGACTCTCCGCCTTAATTAAACAGTGATGTGCTTCTTGGAAACTATAATCAGATGGAGAGTGAGCTGGCCTTTGCAGCCAGGCTGCCTTCCCCCATGGCTTGAGGTTGAATTAACTTTAGTTACTCAGCACCTTAGCAGTGTGTCCTGACATGGAATGTCATATATAAAGATGACTGTGTCTGTGGATGGACAACCTGCGTGTAGGTTTATATACTGAAAATGGATCTGGTTTCCAACCGTCTTTCCCTGACCTTAGTGTCCCGGCTCCATCAGGGTTTGGGAACGGACAGCCACGATGTTGTAGCCACGTACTAGCATGCTGTGAGCATCAGCTGTATATTTGCTGTGATGTTTACGTGAGCACTTCTCTGTTTTCTGGCCGTATCCTGTGTGTCTGGGAGTGTGCAGTGAATGCCAGGCCCCCACTGTGGAGTCCCTCTAACACCCGTTTTTCCTCCCCACCTCTGTGTCCCACCTCCCTCCATCTTTTCCTCAGAATGTGGAGAAGCTGTACCAGAGCCACCTATCAGAGTTCACGCCTCTGCCCTTGCTGAACTCCTCCCTCCCAGACTTCGAAGCCCACAACATCAACCCCAGAAGGTCTGGCCACCGCTCTAAAGAACTGATGTATACCCACTGGAGGGGCACCACTGGCTACTGCACTTTCAGCTCCACCCTCGGTCCCCCTGGCATTGGCCGCACGCACAGATTAGTGGGCCTTGAAACCTCAGTGTAGCCCGGACCTCTGTTACCTATGCCTTTAAGAGACGAGCAAATCCCACAAGAGGCAACCCATGCCAATACCTTGGAGCTGGAGCAACCTCATTCTGCTCTAATTGATGGGTTTGGACAGACAGAGACTAGGCTTTGGTTCCTAGAACTCTGACCCACTCCATCCCTGTGGTGGGTGGGCTCAGTACTGTGTGGTCTGGGACCACACGGCCTCTGACCTCACCTCCCGCTTAACCTCTGACCCCTTTTAATGCTGCGGCGAGACTGTGAGACCCTCCCGTTACGCCCTCCTCCCCAGAGACCCTCATATCACTGCCTCTGCGGGTGATATTACTTGAAAAACAGACACGTAAACACTGGCACCAAGAGCATTGTGATCAACTGTTGGTTTTGTGGCAAAGTGAACAGAATCTGCACTGGATGAAAACCTCTGTGCCCGTTTGTTTAACTTTTCTATTATTCTGTTTTTCTTTCTTTCCTGCTGCTCGCAGAACAAACTGGTGTTGTGCAAATCTTTTGTCGAGAAACACCACATAGGACTCTTGTCCTGTTCACTTTCATCGTAAGTGCTGTAGACCAAGCAAGAGTGTTCACTGTGCTAGACTGGTCTTAAAATGAGAGGTAGTGATGGACAAAATGATGCTTCATGAACCATTTGCTGTATTTTTTTTATCCCACTAGATAGCGCTGTATGTTCATAAATGGGCACAAAGAATGCCCCAAAGCGAACGCAGAGCACCATCTTTTGGGGGTCAAAAAAATGCAGCAAATGGTTCATTAAGCATCATTTTGTCCATCACTGATGAGAGGCCCCCAGCTTCTAGAACCTCCTTCTGTAGCTCAAGACATAGGTTTGATATGGCTGCTTGGTTCCTCATCATATATAACCGCTGACACAATTCTGAAGGATTAGGATAATATTTAACTCTAAATTTCTTCCTGTAACCTGTTGTCTTCCCTGCAATTCATTATTTTACTACAGCCTATTTGACCAGAATCACATTTCTGTCAAATGCAATCGAAAGACTTTAATAGATCTAGCGGTTAGATGACAGACATCGTGTGGTACAGGAAATTCGATTGTGACCTGCGACAAGTCAGAAGTCAACCACAGCTGTGACCTGTTGCCATGGCAGCCAGCGTACTGCATTTGTGTGACACGTTGTTCTGTATGTGCTGGATTTGTGCCCCTTTGTCTGTCCCCAGCTGGATGCTTACAGTGTGATTGATCTTAGTAGAGTGTCTGACAGTGGATGTGTGTGAATTCTCTGCCTTAATATTACTGTTTCTTTCCTTATTGTCTGGAGCCAAAGGTCGGGGGGAAAAAATACCAAGAACAACAACAAAAAAAATAATAATACACACACTTTGTTTTTGCCTTATGCTGAGACTTGGGGTGGCAGGCATTTTGACAAATTGTAAGCTCTAGTTATCTTGCCTTAAATGACTGGCCCCTACATCAGTGGGAGGGGTGGTGGGGAGTATTGTAGCCAAAGTGAAGGACTGCACAGTGCTTGGTTGCCTTGGAGACGTGTGGCTGCATTCTGCATATGTACAAATGGTATAAATGACTTCCCGTCCCCCCCCCCCCCCCCACACACCCGCCTCCCACCTTTCCACTGCTGCTTTGCCCTCAGCTGCATTCCTCCTTGTTGTTTCAGTTCAGACCAATAGGCTGGTCCCTCAGCCACCCTCACCGTGACTGTGTTTCCCACAGTTCGGCGGTACTTTTACACATCTACACACATTTTACACATTTCTACATGTCTGGTGTTCACAAACACCGATCCTGGTGCATCCACTGGGCTCCACATTCATGACCTGGCCTTTGCCAAGTGAAAAAAAAACTTCTTGAGAGTTCACCAGAGGCACAGGCGAAATTAGCATTAGCGATTTACCATGATGACTAAAATACTAAAGAATACACACACACACACACACACAAATAAGGCTGTGAATTAGTGATGGACAAAATCACGCTTCATGAACCATTTGCTATATTTTTTGATTGCACTAGATGGTGCTCTCTGTTCAAAAAACGGCCCAAAGTAAGCGAAGAACACCATCTAGTGAGGTCAAAACATACAGCAAATGCGTCACGAAGCATCATTTTGTCCATCACTACTGTGAGCTCTCTTCTCCATGAATTGTCTCTTCCTCTCTTCCTCATTCCTCCCTGTCACTTCTCTCTCCATTCTACTTGTGTAGCGATGCTCACGTGAATGTGTGCACACAGCCGTCGGCCGTCCTGTCAGTCCCTCACCGCAGCTCACCTGCAGCTCGCTGCACAGCACTCACTCCTTGTGGCTGGCTGCCACTCCAGCACATAGATTCAAAATGTGCTGCTGGGTCAGAAGCACAAGTGTGGGGACACTTTGAAGACCAAGGATTTCTTTGTAAATGTTCTAGCTGCTTGTTAAGCTGGTGCCTTCTGGTACTGTCTGTGTCGTGCTGTATTTGGTAAGATATTGTTTTGTTCTATTTTTATATATATACTTTTTAGACAGAGAATGAGGGGGACGGCAGCTTCATGTAAACACACTGATGATGTATTTTAATTTTTAATTGTTTGTACTTGGAGATCTCATGCTTTGTTAAACAGAACAGAAACGTATTTGGTAATTCCTTAAGATGAATGCTATTTGTATGCTTTAAGAATGTGGTAATTATCAGAATGTTTAAGACGTATGGATGTATAAATGTAGTAGTTGACTTAAGGGTGGGGCGGGGCGGGGCGGTCCTTTAAACCTGAGTAATGAGACTTAAATCAGAAGGCAGTGTCACAATCACAACTGTAACACAAGCTTATTTCTGCTACTACATTAATATAGATAAATGCAAGCAGGATAATTCGCACTGAGACGGTGTCAGTTGAACTTTTTTCTTGGTCCAAAGCTCTTCTCATCTTATTTTTAGTTCATACGTGACCAGTATTTGTTGAGTCTTTGAGTGGATATAGGACCTTTAATATCCATGTCACTGAGTCTAATGACTGCATTCTTTCTGTGATTAACTTTTTTTTGTGGGTGGGAGTGACCTCCGTCGCTCCATATTTTTGCATTTGCCAAGAAACACATTTTCCCGTTCATATACTTAAGCCATGAGTTACACCTTGTTCAGAGAAGGCGGAAGAATTTGCAACTGGAACCAAAGACTCCTGCATTTTATGTGTTCTCATGTTTTTGGATGGAATTCCTTGAGTCAGATAATTCATATCAATGGCATGGAAACTTTATGAAGTATAATTGACAATGTTTAAGTCTCACGCCTCTGCACTCAGAAACACTGGGGGTTTCTTCCCTACTGTGTAGAGCCTCCCATTGAGTAAAATGTACCACTTAACCCGCGAATGAAGCCAGTGGATGATCACTGTTTATCCTGATTGCGCGTGGCTAATACATGACATAATCATGAATGTACACAAGCCAACTGCGTGCGACCCACGTGTCGGCGGTGAAGCTGCCGCTGGCGATTGGCGATCAGTCACCACCGCTTCACTTGAACAAATAACGCAATTACAGGTAATCACGTGTCCTTTTTTTACTGGAGGAAGTCGGCTTGATCCAATAGCGTTGTCTCCGACGTGTGTCTGACGTCCATCCAGTATTAACCAGCTTAGACCTTTTGTAAATCTTCCTGAAATTTGTTTTGCTACTTTTGTACTCAGGAGAGAAATGGTATGTTTTATTTATTTATTTAGTAGGATTTTCAGTTTCGTCACCATAACTAGATGCCGACAAAACAAAATATATATATATAAATATAATGGGAAGTACAGAACTTGAAATAAAGCTTTAAAATGCTTCTCTTGTTAACACATATTTATTGAAAGCGAGTCGATGGCATTTAGCCTACATGAGTCTTCTCACATTGGCAAGCGGGCCCTCACTAAAATCATTTTAAAACACGTTTGTGAAAGTGTAACCTTGCCGATAAATATATCAGACACACAGCGTTTACTCATTGTGTAGACAAGTTCGGGGTCCAGCCTACAGTACACGCAATGTGTATCAAGGTGTAATAATCTCACTCTTAATAAATAAGATACACAGTGCTGTATAGTATAGGTTATATATGTACATATACAAAATATTCATTCATGTACAGTTTTGGGGTCTTTTTGTATACAGTTTTTAAAAGATTGATACCTATAGATACCTGTCCATTTTGCCAGACTTTATGTAGTAACTGTACATTTTCCTGTAATAAAGAACATTTGAAATTTGAATTAATGTCATCTCACGTAATGTCTCACATAACAATAACATCACTGAAATAATTTAATATCATTTATGACCCTAGTTATCCATAAGGTGGCACTGAAGTTTAATTAAAAATACAATCAATTCCATTTTCAATACCAGTTCCGGTGCATGTCGGTTTTTAATACGTATATTATTTACTAATTTTTATAACAAGCAACGAGCACGTTTTTAACTTGATGCCAAACACAGTAAACAAAAACGTCTCCTTTAGTGTAGTTTACAGTTAAATTGTATTTTTGGTATATGATAGCACAATTAGGAAAGCTATTCATCCTGACATTTTAATGACTAAATTAGGTCACGACTATTGTCGAGCCTTGCAAGTAGAATACCGTTTACAGGAAGAGTTCGCCAATGTTGCGACAGGTAGGGGAAACGTATAAGGATGCAATGCTGGTGTTATATTAAGGTACTGAACGATGTGGGCAAAGCCGGCTCGGGACAAAATCACTAAAAACCGGGCCCCCAAGACGAGCAAACCCGCCCACCGGAGCCCAGCTGTCCTCACGAGACCGCGGGCCTGCATGTGTGAGTCAGGACACGCGTCAAGTTACCGCTCCTTCAGTACCGCCACTCTGTCGTTAGGGGTCAGCATTTTGCTACTTTTCCCCTCATCTCTCTCCCTGGTCATAATTCTCACTGCCTGAGGCCATGGAGCAAAACAGGCCTCACGTTTTCCTGTTAAGGGGCCTGCAGTCCCGTTTTAATCCTAAGAGGCTATAATGGTCTAATCCTAAACATTTGATTTCCATTGTAATGCTGTACCAGGATCGCCTGATTAAGTGATGTGAAGGGCTATTGAAGCAGGAGAGCCCCTGCATTATATTCTGAGACATGCCAAGTTTAGGGCGAGCGGTCAGCACAGTGTTGGCACATGACTCAGAAATTAAAAATAATCCAGCTGCCTCGATTCTTTATTCCTGCTCAGTCTGTTTGTGAGCAGCTTCTTTTCTGGGATTTGATGAGTGGGATTTGGTTACCTGCCGCCTGCGTATCGCACAGTGAATCAATGCAGGAAGATGGATTTGCTCAAAAATACCCCTGCGACTGTGGCATTCGGGCTTTAGTGTTCTGTTTTAAAGGAGCATCGCTAACGTGCTAGCAGGAGCCGGCCTGGCACCGTGAAATAGGATTTTGGGGGAGCCAAGAAGCGAGGAGGGAGGGAAATGGGGTGGGGGGGGGGGGAGGTGGCTGCCAAGTCTTGTTGATGGCTCCTTTTTTTGTCACACCCCCTCTGTAGCTTCCGCAGTTGGGAGGAGGTGAAGGGGGCCCACTCTGAAGGGACCTCCGACAGAGAGCGAGCAGGAAGGCCCGAACGTGACCCCCATCTGAACTGGCGCGTTTGGGAGCCTGGGATTCTCTGGGTCTGCAGAATGTGTTGTTTAAGCACTGGGGGGTTTACTAGCCTATTGTCTGTGTGTTTGTGTGCGAGTGTGTGCAGGCGGCGGATTTTGGAAAGGCCAACTTCTCCTGCATTCGATATTGCCCACACATGGCAGTCGGCGGACTGTCCCTCACACTGCGCCGATCCTTCTCTAAGCCCCAGTTTAAAAGGGTGTTTTAAACTAAAGTTCGAAACATGCTTCATCTTCTACGCCAGTGGTGACATCAGTGGTTCCTTCTCAATCACTTCTCAGCGCACACTCTCTCCCCGTCAGCTGACCAGGGGCCGTATTTGCAGCCCAGACAGAGAGCATGCTGGGAAGTGCATGTTGAATCTGAGCGACACAGGAACCTTCACAGACAGTAACCACAGAAGGTGAAAACCTCTGCCTGCTTCACGAGGCTAACGGCAGAATGAACATTGTGAGCCTCAACATCTTCTGTACTGGACAGACACATCTCCCCATGACAGATAAAACAGAAATGTCATTTTTGTTACTTTTCATCTGTCCAGTACAGATCCTTCTCAGACCTGGTATGATTACTGTCTGATCGATGCCTGATCCATCGATTAAATCAGCGAGGAAGGTGAAAGGAATGAGAGAAATGTACCCCAGCTGCCTCATTAGCGATGATATGCACTTCCACTGCGTTAATGATGTAGGGTTAGTGGGGAACCCCCCCCCCCCACCGCCGAATATCCAGTACGGATGTCCTGTTGTCAAACATGCTCCGAGGTTTTCTCTCAGCGCTGGGAAATATTATTTACCATTTCAGCGAATTAGAGTAATTAATCGTAATAAGCAGTGGAATCACATATATGTAGGCGACTCTTCCAAGTCTTCTAGAAGTTATAATCTTCAAGTAGGGCTGCCATTGAGTGTGTTTAATGGAGTGTGTGGAGTCACTGGGCTGTGAAGTGTTTCCATTAGCCTCCAGACGGCACTGTCATTTGCCAAGATTGTTTTTGAATCATTACACCTTTTCTTTTATCCCCCACCCCCCAACCCCCTCCGCCCTCGCCTGTACATGCCACATCGCCTGCTCATTATCGACTTCGGAGAGAAGCCGTCGGTAAAAACGGGTGCCGGGCCGTTCGGCGGGGGCAGGCGGAGGGTCGTGGCTCCGGGCCGCACAGGTGGGAGGAGATGAGCGATGGCCTCTTCAAAACGTGAAGCGGCTCTGCAAACACTGCGCGCACACTCCTCTGTTTGCATCCACCCAGCTATTTGACATTAAAGCTTAGCGCAACGTGTTCAGCTCGGCCGTGCTGGAA